TTCCCTAAAGCCATCCATCTGCAATTAGCTCGGCCTCGGCTCAGCTCCCTCCGCCCACGCAGCGAGGACAGACATTGCCAGCAACCAGTAAGTCTCTTCTACTTCGTTTTTATTTCAAGTCAGAGCACGTCGGCTCTGCCTTCACCAGTGCCAAGGGTGGGAGGAAAAGGTGCAGGAGAGCACAGGGAGAGGCATCAGGAGTAGCCAGAGCCCGAGTGCTGCTGGACACCGACTCCCGAGGCAGCCACATGCTCCTTCTTTCTGAGCAAACAAGATCCTGGCTGTGAGGCCCCCTCCATTCCCCACTGTGCAAGGAAGGAGCCCATCTGGAAGGGGCATCCTCTCAAAAAAAGCAGGGGAGACAACCTGCCCCCCGCCTCTACCTCCCCACCAGCTTCTTCCCCTGCGCCAGGCTCCCGGAGGAAAGCTCATCTCCGTTGGCCCCAGCTGCAGGCAGCCTGCGGGGCGAGCTGTGCCAGGAGGCCCCAGGTGTGGATACGGTTATCTGCACCCCATGGGTGGGCTGCAGCTCCGCGCAGCTGAGACCACCCCCTCCCCAGGAGCTGCACAGCGCGGCGATTACCGGGGAAACGCAGCCTCCCCTGGCCCGCAGCACCGAGGGGAACACGGGGGACTAAACTGAAGAGACGCGCTGGGCAGTGGCCAGCCGCTGCTCCACCAAGGAAAGCCTTCCTCCATCATGCTGGGTGTGAGGCAGCGTATCCCAACCCACCCCGGGCCAGGGACACGCCAAGAAGACAGAGCCTCACTGGCACTGCCACTGCCACCTAACTAAGCCCTGCTACTGCTCCAGTCAGAGAGCAAAGGCCATGGGAACAACAAACACGGGTTTCACTAACCACTAGCTCTCTTCTCGAAAGAGAAGAGCGATACAAACACACTGCCTGGGACATCAAGGACAGTCGAGAGTCAGTGGGGAGAGAGCACGTGAGCCCCAGACACCGCAGAGCCAAGGACAAGGCCGTGTTCCCAGTGCAGCCCCAGTCCCACCAGCCTGGACATCCCTCTGGCTCAGCAGCGGTCCCTCTTCCAGCGAGGGCTGCAGGTCCCGGGAAGGCAGGTGAGGTCACTAGAGCCGATTACTGCATCTCACGCCGTCCGCCCAAGGGCTCAGCTGGCTCATCCGGACTGTCCGAGTGGGTGTCGTCCATGCCGAAGTCGCTCCAGTGCGGGAAGGTCTCTAGGCAGCTCGGACCCTGCGGGCTTCCCAGGCCGGCACAGCTGGAAAGAGAGAACAGGTCAGAGCGGAGAAGGGATCTGGGGAAGATGCAAGGCCCAAGGTGCCCGCGTGCCTCCACGTCGACCACAGCCTCCTTGGCACAACCCCTTCTGCGCAGCAGAGGCTGCTTCCCCTCTGCACAGCCCCAGTGCAGCCCTCGGG